TTTAAGCCAGAGAGTCCTCTATATTCTAGAGCTGGACAGGCCAACCGCCTGCTCTTTCCACTTCTACCCAAAGTCAAACCTCAGATCTAATCCTGATGCTGTGGGCACTCCATTATGGGAGAAGGGCCCTGTGAGAGGAGAGAGGGAGATAGAGCTTGCCCCCGCTGCCTTGACCAGCTCCAGGCCCTTCTTGGCTAGGGGACAAGGAGGCTGTGGGCGTTTAGCGGAAAGGAAGACTAATTTTCTCTAAAATTTATTTATTTTTTTATTTTTCAGGGACAGAGTCTTGTTGTGTCACTCAGGCTGGAGTGCAGTGGCATGATCTCAGCTCACTGCAACCTCCACCTCCCAGGTTCAAGAGATTCTCCTGCCTCAGTCACCGAAGTAGCTGGGATTATAGGTGTTCACCACCACACCTGGCTAATTTCTATATTTTTAGTAGAGATATATTTTCACCATGTTGGCTAGACTGATCTTGAACTTCTGGCCTCAAGTAATCCACCTGCCTTGGCCTCTCAAAGTGCTGAGATTACAGGTGTGAGCCACTGTGCCTGGTCTTGGACGGCTAATAATTTTCAAAGAAGAGACACTCTTTCAAGTCCTCCCTTTCCTTCATTCGTAGACATCAGTCATTCTACCAGCCTCCTGAGTCTGTTCTGCACTGTCTTCCTCCTCTGGTTCCCCCCTGCCCCACCCCCGCCAGGTTCCAGTGTTTTCTAGTGTTCTGCCATTGGGCTCCTCACTGTCTCTGTCCTACCTGGATATCTCACCTGCGCCCATACCTTCAACCACCATTCATATATCCACGACTTTCAAGACAACTTTTTCCCTAGATAGTCAGCAGATAACATCATCACAGCCCAGTACCTGGTGCGGCAGGATACTTGGCTTTTGATAGTCATTGAGTTAGTGGTGAGCAGGGAATGGAAGAGCCCAGGATAGCTCCAAAGAAGACTTCCAGAAATGTTTTCAGTTATCAGCACTTTCGGAATTAGGGCATATAGTTTCCATTTAAAGGGCAGCATTCCTGTAGATCAGGCGTCCCCAAACTACGGCCCTGCAGGCCACATGTGGCCCCCTGAGGTCATTTATCCGGCCCCCCGCTGCACTTCAGGAAGGGCCACCTCTTTCATTGGTGGTCAGTGAGAGGAGCACAGTATGTGGCGGCCCTCCAACTGTCTGAGGGACAGTGAACTGGCCCCCTGTGTAAAAAGTTTGGGGACGCCTGCTGTAGATGTTTAATATCTGATTCATTTATAAAGAAGTCTTTCCAACTAATTTGTAGGCACCTGGAGGGAAAAGCAATGAAACTTTGTTAAACTGCTCCCTGAGATGAAATATCTGACACCCCTATAATTGGATCTGGGTCCCATCTGTGCAGAGAGCATGGCACAGGCTGGAGGCAGATGGCATCTTTGAGATGCCATTTACAGTTGTCATAGTGAATGAACAAGAAGGAAGGACAAGAAAGAAAACTCCTTTCTAATTTCTGCTTGGATAACAAAGGAAGTGAGGGTAAAAAAGAAATTTGCCTTGCTGGCAACTCAGAGAGAAGATGAGGGCTGGGCTGGTGCCTTTTCTTTCTGGACTGGATAGTGAGTTAGCATCAAAGGAACTGGTGAGTGAGCAGAGATGCCACGAGTTCTGGGGCTTTGAAGGGCAGCAAAGAGGGTAGAAGCCAGAAATATCTGGGGCCTGTTCAGGCTGATAAAAGACTGGGGCCAACATTGTCTTCATGCTACCCACGGGGGTGAACTGTTAAACTCATTGTGTCTCTTAGGTACCCATGCCCACAATTGGAGTATTTCTCTTTTTTTTTCTTTTCTTTGTTTCTTTTTTCCAATGGAGTCTCCCTCTGTCACCCAGACTGCAGTGCAGTGGCCCAATCTTGGCTCACTGCAACCTCTGCCTTCTGGGGTCAAGCAATTCTAGTGCCTCAGCCTCCCAAGTAGCTGGAATTACAGGTGTGTACCACCACGCCTGGCTAATTTTTTGTATTTTTAGTAGAGACAGGGTTTCACCATGTTGCCCAGTCTGGTCTCAAACTCCTGACCTCAAGTGATCTGCCCATCTCAGCCTCCCAAAGTGCTGGGATTACAGGCGTGAGCCACCGCACTTGCCTAGGCCACAATTGGAGTATTTCTTTGATTTCGAATCAGCTGTGTTCTGGGGAGAAATACTGATATGGAGATCCAGGAATGCTGCAGACAGCTGTATGTGGCCTTTCTGGTATCTCGGCAAGAGTTTGCCTGTTTTCCTCTCTCTGTCTCCATTGATTTTCACTTGCTAATAGATGACCTGGGCTTACCCAAGACCAGGTCATATGGGACACCGACCGAATCTAGGCATTGCTCCTGTAGGGATGATTTAGTAAAAAATAAACACTTCTTTTGGCAGAGAGATCAGTAGATCTGGGTCAATCCAAAGCTAGCATTGGTTATGAGTACAGGAGAAGAGGGTTGGCCCTACAGGTATCTAAGCTGCAGGCTTCCTTTCACACTTGGAGACTACGAAGTGAGATTTACTAGAAGGGAGAAACAGGAGCTGCAGTAGAGCATCAAACCCCAGGCATCAGGAGGGGGAACCAAAGGCAGTAAAGCCAGGGAAGGAGAGCCAGTGTCAGATGCCTGATTGTACCGGTCTCCACGGAGGACGGGCATTACCCCTTCTGTGTGACAGTGTCCTTAGATGCTGAAGAAACTAAGTCTTTGTTGGACAGCCCTTCAGAGGAAAGAAGGAAGGAAGGATTTATCTACCAGTTCCTGTCCCCATGGGATTTTAACTCCCCTGCACTTCCAGATGGCATGTGCTGGGGTGTGGGTGCCACAGCAGGGAAGCCCCAGAATAGGAGACAAGACCTGTTCATGTTGTCAAAACCCATGCAGGGATCAGACAAGGAGTAGGGGAAGATGACAGAGGCTGAGGAGTTCTTAAGAGGTGTCTGCCTCAATAGGAAAGCTTGAACTGGGGTTGCAGAATATCCCTGCTTGGTGACATGACGATAACTTTTTCCAGGAATAATTGTATGATAGCTTCTATCTGCAGGAATTTTGTTTATTTGTTTTTGTTTTTGAGACGGAGTCTCACTCTGTCACCCAGGCTGGAGTACAGTGGTGGGATCTCGGCTCACTGCAACCTCCGCCTCCCAGGTTCAAGTGATTCTCATGCCTCAGCCTCCCAAGTAGCTGGGACTACAGGTGTGCGCCATTGCACTCGGCTAATTTTTGTATTTTTAGTAGAGTTGGGATTTTGCCGTGTTAGCCAGGCTGGTCTCAAACTCCTGACCTCAGGTGACCAACCTGCCTTGGCCTCCCAGAGTGTAGGGATTATAGTCATGAGCCACCGTGCCCTGCCTGTTTGTTTTTGATGTTATTGTAAATAAATTGTTTTCTTAATTTCATCTTTGGACTGCTCATTGCTAGTGTTTAGAAACACAATAGATTTTTATGCCAGGTGCAGTGGTGTGTGCCTGTAGTCTCAGCTACTAGGGAGGCTGAGGCTGGAGGATTGCCTGAGTCCAGGAGTTCTGGGCTGTAGTGCGCTACGCCAACCGGGTGGCTGCACTAAGTTTGGTATCAATATGGTGACCTCCCGGGAGCAGGGGACCACCAGGTTGCCTAAGGAGGGGTGAATTGGCCCAGGTCGGAAACAGAGCAGGTCAAAACTCCTGTGCTGATCAGTAGTGGGATTGCACCTGTGAATGAATAGCCACTGCACTCCAGACTGGGCAGCATAGCAAGACCCTGTCTCTAAAAACAACAACAACAACAACAACAACAACAACAACAAAACAATATATTTTTGTACATTGATCTTGTATCCTACAACCTCGCTGAACTCCTTTCTCAGCTCTAATAGTTTTTTGGTGTGGATTCCTTAGGGTTTTCTCTATATAAGATCATATCATTTGCAAGTAGAGATAGTTTTACTTGTCTGTAGGGAGTTTTATTTTATTATCTTGAGACGGCGTTTTGCTCTGTCGCCCAGGCTGGAGGGCCGTGGCACAATCTTGGCTCACTGCAACCTGCCTCCTGAGTTCAAGCGATTCTCCTGCCTCTCAGCCTCTTAAATAGTTAGGATTACAGGCATGTGCCACCATACCCCGCTAAGTTTTGTACTTTTGGTAGAGATGGGGTTTTGCCATGTTGGCCATGCTGGTCTCAACTTCTGAGCTCAGGTGATCTGCCCACTTTGGCCTCCCAAGGTGCTGGGATTGCAGGTATGAGCCACTGTGCTTGGCTGGGAATTTGATTTTAAAGAAATAAAAAGTTAGATCCCCTTCCCCTCTTCCTGTCTGAACAACCACTTGAGGATTGACTGGGACTGTTGGAAACTGTTACCTCAGGGAACCAAGGCCTTCATATGGCTTCCCACATTGCTATATTACCTGGAATATATGCAGAATATTTAAAAGAAGAACAACCCAAAGAAATCAGTGGCTTCCTGATAGACCAGGATTAAATAGCTTCAGTTAAAGGAGTCCCAGAAGTACCTAGGAACCTTGTGGAGAAGTTCTTCAGTTTGCCCCAACCTGCTTCTGAGGCTTGGTCCTGTCATTTTTCCCCTTGGGATAGCAGTGACTTGAAGAAGAGTGCCACACCACCCTGCTGGGATGAGAAAGGTGGAAGCAGATCTTACCTGTGTAGTTGCAGGGAGGAGCTCACTCAGTACCCAGCTCTGGGCCTTGTTCGATCCTACCCGAGTGGAATGCCAGTGGCATCCAGTGGCCTGTCAGGTGAATCACAGGTTGGAATTCTGATCTGTACCCAAGCAGGGCTCTTTCCCTTCCCTCTAAATCAGGTAATGGGCCACGCTCATTCATGAATAAGAGAAGCTGGGTAATTGGCTTGGGAGAACTTGCGTTGCCTGACTCAGTGTTTGCCTCTGAAGATGAATGGTGACCCGCAGAGATACCAGCTGTGCGATACACTAATCTCCTTTAGAATTTTCCCCAAGCCCATTGATGCATTTTGTGAGTCGACTGCCTTTTTCTCTTTTAGAAATTCTGACAAAAATTAATGATGTATCAGTGTTTAATGATACCTGTGTGAGATGGCAAATGAACTCAGAAAGAAGAAACTCCAAGACTGTATATGTGGTAAGTAAAGTGATCTACTTTTTCCTACTAGGACAGACACCATCACCCCTGGGAATATGAGTCAGAGGGACTTACTTCCATGAGAGCTTCTCAATCTAATTGATTTTTTTTCTTTTTTCTTTTTGAGACAGAGTCTCACTTTGCAGTGCAGTGGTGCAATCTTGGCTCACTGCAACCTCAGCCTCCTGGGTTCAAGCGATTCTCCTGCTTCAGCCTCCTGAGTAGCTGGGATTACAGGTGCGCGCCACCATGCTTGGCTAATTTTTTTGTATTTTCAGGAGAGACAGGGTTTCACCATGTTGGCCAGGTTGGTCTTGAACTTCTGACCTCAGGTGATCCGCCTACCTCAGCCTCCCAAAGTGCTGGGATTACAGGCATGAGCCACCATGACTGGTCTCAATCTAATTGCTTTCTAATGCCACTGTCATTTAAAAAGAATGGACAGGATTTTCAAGGATAACTGAATTATTTCGTTATTTTGCATTTAGCATATTTGTCATTCGGCAGGGTGCATGTGTGGTGGATGCGTTTATATTTGGCATCCTCACTATTGCTTGTTTCCAAGCACTTGCATTTCACTCCCCCAGAGCAAGCCTGGGAACATCTGCTGACTTGGCGATAGAGTGCAGCTCTTGGTCCTCAGGTTGCAATTGCCTCTATTTGATCATTTGTGTGCAGGAGAGAGCACTTCCTAGGGAGATTTCTCATTTATGTCTCTTTTAGGGTTTTATTAATCACTGGGCTAATCAGAGTTTATCAGCAGATACCTGGTAGCAGAGGTTTATTTATCAGCAGATACCTGGTAGCAGAGATTTACCTTACAAATGCTCCCTGGCTGAGCAGCGCAGTATAAAATGAAATAGTAGGAGAAGGGGCTCCAGCACCACAAATTCTGGGTTGTTTTGACTGGAGTCACAGTGGGTTCTCTTGTCTTTTCCTCTCAAAGATATCCATAAAAGGACAACGGCTGGACCCTATAGAATCAGTTCATGAGGAGACAGTCAAGTTGACCACAGACAGCAGGACCCCAGAAGTGTGCCTCGCCCTGTACCCAGGCACCAACTACACCATGCACATCTCCATAGCACCTCCAAGGCACTCTGTGCCAGCCGTCATTGGTTTCCAGACAGCTGGTAGGTGGAGGTGATGTCTCATTTCCTCGTAGAAAATGCTAAGCACAGGATGTAGGAAGCATGCTGCAGAATCAGCTGGGCTCGAGAGCTCCTATTTGCTTTCTGAGATTTATACTCAGATGTAGTTGCTCCAGTGGCACAACCATAGCTGGTCGAGAGATCCCTATCCTCTTGGTACCAGGCTGAATGGGCTCTGGGGCATTTTTTTCAGCTGAGCCCTCCAGAAGAGGTGGAAGGTAATAAAAAGCCATTTAAAAGGAAAACGTTAGGTGATGATCAGTCCATTCTCAAATATCCAAAGCAACAAAGGGTAACCATGTGGCTTATCCTTGGTAGGAAACTCAAAAGTCATTTTTGGCCATGTGCGGTGGTTCATGCCTGTAATCGCAGCACTTTGGGAGGCTGAAGTGGGTAGATCACTTGAGGTCAGGAGTTCCAGACCAGCCTGGCCAAATGGCAAAACCCTGTCTGCTAAAAATAGAAAACCTTAGCTGGGCATGGTGGTATACACCTGCAGTCCCAACAACTTGGGAGGCTGAGGCAAAAGAATCACTTGAACCCGGAGGGTGGAGGTTGCAGTGAGTGAGCAGAGATTGTGCCACTGCACTTTCGCCTGAGCAACAGAGCGAGACTAGGTCTCAAAAAAAAAAAAGTCACTTCTCGCCCTTGCATGTGAAAGCGGAGATGCCAGGAGAGCTGACCCAGCAACTTTGAGGGGATCAAGTTGAGAGTGCAGAAGTGGAAGCAGCAGTACTCCTAAGGTGCAGGAGGATAGGTGTTAGCTGAAAAGGAGTGGAAGGAAGGAGCTTTAAGAAGTAGAAATAACCCTCATTGTATATAATTGTCACACAGGTTTGTTTTTAACAACATTGTGACAATTACAGTAAGTTAAAAAAAAAAAACCCTCTGGTTATGGGGTATGAGAACTAACTAAATACCTTGTAGATAGGTGGGGTGCTGGCTCATGCCTATAATCCTAGCACTTTGGGAGGCTGAGGAAGATTGCTTGAGGCTAGGAGTTTGAGGTCAATCTGGGCAACACAGTGAGACCCCATCTCTACAAAAAACAAAAACAAACAAACAAACAAAAAAAACGGTGTGGCGGTGCATGCCTATAGTCCCAGTTACTTGGGTGGCTAAGGCAAGAGGATCACTTTAACCCAGGAGTTCAAGGCTGCAGTGAGCTATAATGATGCCACTGCACTCCAACCTCGGTGACAGGGCAAGACCTTGTCTTAGAAAACAAATGAACAAATAAACAAAAACCCTGTAGACAAACTTGGAAATAGTTGATGTCATTTATTTATTTATTTTTTGAGACAGAGTCTCTCCCTGTTGCCCAGGCTGGAGTGCAATGGTGTGATCTGGGCTCACTATAATCTCCACTCACTGCACTCTCTGCTTCCCAGGTTCAAGCAATTCTCCTGCCTTCAGCCTTCTGAGTACCTGGAATTACAGGCACTCGCTACCAGGACCTGGCTAATTCTTGTATTTTTAGTAGAGACGGGATATTACCATATTGGCCAGGTCTCAAACTCCTGACCTCAAGTGATCTGCCCACCTCAGCCTCCCAAAGTGCTGGGATTACAGGTGTGAACCACCACACCTGGCTGATGTCATTTATTCTTTTGGGGGAGTTGAGGAAGTTCTTAATTAGCTGTTTGATATCCCACTTAAAATGTACCTTAACCTTACTAAGTTGGGAAATGACACAGATTCAGCAGAAATAGTTGAAAAGTCTGCCAATTTTTTTTTTTTTTTTTTTTTTTTGAGATAGAGTCTCTGTCACTCAGGCTGGAGTGCAGTGGTGTGATCTCGGCTTACTGCAACCTCTGCCTCCTGGGGTTCAAGTGATTCTTCTGCCTCAGCCTCCTGAGTAGCTAGGATTACAGGCTCCCAACACCACAACCAGGTGATTTTTGTATTTTTATTAGCGATGGGATTTCACTATGTTGGCCACGCTGGTCTCGAACTCCTGACCTCAGGTGATCTGCCTGCCTTGGCCTCCCAAAGTGCTGGGATTACAGGCGTGAGACACCGCACCCAGCCAAGTCTGCCAATCCTAAGAATATAAAACCAAGTATGAGATTATACAAATTAGATCTCTTGATATTTGTATATAAATAAAACAAAATTAATTCTTTATAAGTAAATAATAGGCAAAGATATTATAAAATTAATATGGAAACTAATCAGAAAAGCCTTACAAATTTATTAGTAAACTACTCAAGGGAAATGTCTTTTTTTTTTTTTTTCCGCTCTTGTTACCCAGGCCGGACGGAGTGCAATGGCGCGATCTCGGCTCACCACAACCTCCACCTCCTGGGTTCAGGCAATTCTCCTGCCTCAGTCTCCTGAGTAGCTGGGATTACAGGCATGTGCCACCATGCCCAGCTGATTTTTTGTATTTTTAGTAGAAACAGGGTTTCACCATGTTGACCAGGATGGTCTCGATCTCTTGACCTCATGATCCACCCACCTCGGCCTCCCAAAGTGCTGGGATTACAGGCTTGAGCCACTGCACCTGGCCTTGGGAAATGTCTTTAAATGATCATCACTCACCTGTCACTGTTCAATTAGGATGACCGGTTGCTGTTTGGTGTCAGCTGTTTTTACTAATATCCAATTACCTGTTCAAGTTCCTTTCCCTTGGAAAAAAACACACGGTCTTTGGAGTCAGGCAGATCTGGTTTTACATCTTAACTCTGTATTGAAGAGTTGGCTGATCATGGCTAAGTTTAGTCTCTGGACTAAAGGGAATTGGATTATATTTGCAAGTTAATCTAGAGAGAATTAGGACTTATATTGAGCCATCCTAACTGGGAGCAAGGTATGTTTCCACATTTACTCAGTGTCTACTCAAGTCTTCTGTTTATTTATGTACTGTTATAAAGATTTGTCATCCTTTTCCTCCAGGTACTGCACCTTCTGTTGTCTGATTTCATTATGAGTTATGCTATTTTCCTTAAAATGAATTGGGAAGTTTTCCATTTTTTTTTCCCCTCTGGAATAGTTTATATCACATTGGAATTATTCCCTTCCTTTAAAGTTGGACATTTGCTCAAAAGATCATTTAAGTTTCACCCCTTTAAGGAGATGATTCTTTGACAACGTTGTCAATTTCTTCCATGAGTTTGGGTCTGTTTATGTTTCTGGCATTTTCCTGAGTCAATTTTTTATAATTTATATATTTTTCTAAAAAATGTATATTCGGTTTATATGTTACACATATTGGCAGAATGCATATGGAATATTTGCTTACATCTCCTCTGGGGCTATAGGTTATATAATCTCAGGTGATTCTGATTCCTAATTTTGGTTCTCATTCTCTTTTTAGAGGTTGATTGGCTTGGGTCGTGAGTTTTATTACTGTTTTTTTTCCCCCGAGAAATGAACTATTGGGTTTTAAAATTGTTTTTCTTTTTCTAACTCATTAATTTCTCCTTTTGTTTTTATTTTTCCTTCTCCATTTTCCTCTCTCTCTCTCTCTCTCTCTCTCTCTCTCTCTGTCTCTTTTGAGACACCCAGCTCTGTCAGCCAGGCTGGAGTGCAGTGGTGCAATCACAGCTCGACTTCTTGGGCTCAAGTGATCCTCCCAACTCAGCCTCCCCAGTAGCTGGGACTACAGGCATGCACCACTATGCCTGGCAAATTTTTGTACTTTTTGTAGAGACAGGGTTTTGCCATGTTGTCCAGGCTAGTCTTGAACTTCTGGGCTCAATCAATCTACCTGCCTTGGCCTCCCCCAGTACTGGGATTATTGGTGTGAGTCACTGTGTACAACCCATATTTCTGTTAAATTGGTTATATTGTTCTGTTTCTAAATTCTTGAGTTGAGTGCGTAACAAAATTCAATTTATTTCCATTCTTTTCTGTTTGATAATAGAAGTCTTTAATGATTCTTTCTCCCTTCCAGATTTGAGCTTTGGCAGAATTCTTTAGGCATCGATATGTGTTTCAAGGCATGATATAATTGCTATTCTGATTTTGTGTTTGGTGGAATAATTATTTATGAATGTTTTAATATGTGTTCTCTTTATGCTTACTTTCAAAGCATTATACAATTACTATTTCGATTTCTCCTTTGAATAATTAATTATACGCATTTTATACAGTGGTAGATTTTTTTCTTTGTAACATTTATACTGTGTTGCTACTTTCTAGTTTTATTACATTTTGGCATGTTTTGGGGGATTTATTGACATTTTCTTGGGGCTTGCCATTTGGCTAACTTTGGTAATTTCAGTAGGTACTAGATAATAAGGCAGAGTATTTGCTTGTAAGTGGAGTAAGATCTATCATTAAGTCAACTTTATTAATAAGGTTATTCAGGACTTCTGGTTTTTGTTTATTTTCAACATGGATTGTCGTTTTCTGTTCCTCTTAGAGATTCCTATTAGTTTGTTTCACACATTTTGATGTGATATTTATGTTCATGACTGATATCTTTATTGTAGATTCTTTCACTAGTAACAAATGGCTTATTTTAGCCTATTTAATACCTTTGCCTTGAATTATGTGTTGAAAGTAATATTGTTTTCTTGATTTATTTGTGCTTGCATTTGCATGATATACCTTTGTCTACTTTTTTTCCTTCTTGAAAGCTATCTAAATAATATTGCTATAAATTTACTCTAGGAGACAGCATGTATTGAGAACTTCTCTGGGAAAACTTTCATTTTTGAGTAGATAAGTCATCCAATTTACATCATTGTTATTTGTGATATATTTTCCTTTCTTCTGCCATTTTATTTATTTATTTACCTATTTATGTTTGAGATGGAATCTCACTGTGTTGCCCAGGCTAGAGTGCACTGGCCCAATCTTGGCTCACTGCAACCTTGGACTCCCAGGTTCAAGCAATTCTTGTGCCTCAGCCTCCCACAGCTGGTAACTACAGGCATGAGTCACCACGGCCTTTTATTTTTTGCCTTTCAGATACGCTTGAGCTCTGTTGCCCAGACTGGAGTACATGGTGCAACTGTGGCTCACTGCAGCCT